GACAAACTGGAAAAATGGTCTGAAGTAAATAGGATGAAATTCAATAAAGACAAATGCAACATACTCCACTTAGGAAGGAACAATCAGTTGCACACATACAAAATGTCTTATAAATTGAATATTTGAACATTTCATAACCAAAAGATTCTGGAAAACTGTATCTATTTCTATATTGGTTAGACCCTCATCCCCTTCAGAAGCTCAGCGTCTGCCAGTAGGTATTGCCTTTGGCTGACAAATTTATGGCAAGTGAAAAGGTTTGAGGAGGAAGCTCATTTTATATTCCTCCCCAGCCCCCATGGATTTGATCTCAGCAAAATTTTACAGACTTCCTGATAATGTGCTAAGCCATGGCTGGATTTAGACACAGGCAGTATTGTGCCTAGGGACCAAGCTTCTGGATTCATGTTATTACATCAAAATCTCACCTTTCATTGGGGGATGGGAGGTGGTTGTAACTCTTGTGGTTGTAAGAGAAAGCTGGAAAATGTGACCTGAGTGTAAGCAATGCAGGGCTATATCCACAAAGGGAGCTTAGGCTCAGCATTGCAGCACCTAACTTTAGGTGCACTGCTGCACTTTGGAATTAGGCACCCAGGGTAACCATATATAATGCATGGGGAGAGTTAGGCACCTAAGAATGGGATTCATAGAAGCTAGAATGTGGCACGAAGAGATGCCTCAGCTAACCAAAAGACAATGACAAGGAAATGAGTGCAGCCTAGATTCTGCCCTTCAAAGGGGATTAGGTGCCTAAATCCAGGTCAGAGGGAGGCACCTATCTCTGCTTGATATTCTCAGCTGGAAAGCCTCTAGTGGAGACAGGTGCTTACACCAGGTAGGAGGAGGTAGCACGCTGCCCTCCAATATTTAATAGCTCAGTGGTTACAGCACTCGTATGCATATGGAAGACCCTAGTTTAAATCCCTACTCCACCTGTCCAGAGCAAGGACCTGAACCCCACTCCCATGTGAGTGCCCTAACCACTGGGATTTAGGGCCTCTCTCCTGTTGCAGCTGTTCTACTTTTTATAAAATATTTAAATTTCAGTGGGCCAGAGAGAGAGAGAGAGAGAGAGAGAGAGAGAATGACTCTATAGCCTAGTGATTTGCATACTCACCTGGGAGCTTCAGGTTCAGTCCCTGCTCCAATGAACCTCATCCTTGCAGATAATCTTGGTCAGACCAGTTTCTCTACCCTTCATTTTTCTGAGATGCTTCCACATCAATGGGCGCTATTAAAGTTAATGACCCTCCATTTTCCCTGTTCTGGTAAATATGTGACACAACCCTAACAGTAGATTGCTAACTCCACATACACTGATGCATTCAATGATACAGCAATTTCACAGGATCAACAAGAATTCATAAATTGTAAATAGACAGATTCCCCAGTCGTCATCCCCAAAGAGTTATTTACCTGGGTCTCACTGATAACATAGAGAACATGTTATAACGGTTGATCCTTAGGCTTTATTCCATCATTTTGTGTAGTGTGTTACTAGCGTACTTTTAAATAATGCACTCTCCACAACACAAGGGAAAAACAAACAAAAATATAAACTTTATTTAACCATTTAAGAGTAAGAATGGGCCATATAGAAATATACAGAAGTAGAAAAGGAGAATCAAAATAGACTTGGAAGAATAACAAGGGAAATTAAGAAACAATGTGCCAAGAAGTACAAATATGAGATATTTAAAGCTACCTAAGAGACTTTGGGCCAGATTTTTAAAAGGTATTTAGGTTCCTAGAGGGATTTTCAAAACCATCTAGTCACCTAACACTCATGGGTGTAGGCAACCAGATACTTTTGAAAATCCCACTAGGCACCCAAATGCCTTTAAAAATCTGGTCTTTTGGGTTCCAAATCTTCTAGGTGGCTTTTATAAGATCAGCCAAAGTGTCAAATGAAAAAAAAAATGTGTTCAGCAGTAAATAATGTTCATGTCCAGTCATGCTTTATAATAAGGGTACTGTAATAACAGTTTAGTTACATTGTAATTACCACATGCTTATGTTTTCAATATGTATTTTCCGAAAATCATATACACTGAAGGATAACTATATAACAGATTTAATTATTAATGCACTTGGCTGTTCTTCATGATATTTTCAAGGGCATATCTTCAGCTGGTGTGAGCTAGCATAGCTCCATTGGATTTACACCAGCTGAGGATCCAGCTCAAGTGTCCTAACCAAATTGATGCTGGCTAAAATTGTTAATGGAATCTGGGTGCCAAACTCCTGCAGGCTGCCCTGAAAATCCCAGCCTCTGCGATTGTTCTCAGTTATGCAGCAAACTTCCTGATTATATGGTTCAGTGTTACTCACAGATATTGAGAAAAACATAAGCACACTGTAATTACAGGACCATTGCACTGTAACTACACTGTAACTGCAGTACTCTTAATTTAAAGTGTAATGTATATCCCTGTTTTGTATTTATATAGGGCTCATGTTGAAGTAGATTTTTGTACACCTGCTCTGTTCCTACGAGACACTAGGGCAAATTCTCCGAAGTCAAGGGAGTTACGCCAGATGTGAATTTGGTCCAATGTTCCTATGTAACATCAGTACGCAAGCTTGTATCCCAACTTGATAATCACTCCATAGGAAGGACAAATAAGTCTTTAATTTAAACAATCAGATCCTCAAACCAAGAACATGGGATTTATACTGCACATTAGACAAAAAGCCACAAAATTAGACAAAAATCATATCCTATGAGGCGATCAGGTCCCTCATCCACATTCATTGTTGTGTTTCTATGTCTTGCTATCACTGTACATTGAGTGTAGTACCTTGTGAAATCAGTAACTTGAATCATTCTTTTATCCTTGTGAACTATCAAATGATATATCCTGAATTGTTTCAGGTACTCTAATGGTCCAGTGAAGCACAATCTAGAAATTCCATTTAAAACATCCATATTTGCCAAGAGAAACCAAAGTTACCAGTAAAATTTTATTCCAGTATCAGGGAAAATGAAGGTGTATCAACTGTATGGAGATCACAGTTAACAAAAATTATCTCTTTCTGTGTCCCCATACATATCTATCTATCTAATCTACTTTATTGTGCTATCTAGGTATTCCAACAATAAATAAATCCAGACGGATAAAGTGCATAGTGTCTCATAGAAGTAGAATTCACAGAATAAACTAAATTGGTTGAGAACGATTTGTGGACATAATCTTCCTTGTACGTATCACGTTCACAACCTTTAACATTTTGAAAACAGCCTGCACCAGGCCCAGACAAAGTGATAGATATCCACAAAAGCAGCACATTTTGGAGTCACTTCACTATTCTAACACCTGTGAGTGCATGGAAATGTTAGAATTTACACTCACAAAACCCAATGGGCTCAAGATTCAATGGAAACATGGACACTGATTACGTGAATCAGTGAGTGACCACTTACAACGATCTTTATGTGAATATTAGGTAAATCAGATTGCACAAAATCTTAACCGGTTCCATGTTATTTTGTGAAGTGATATTAATTGTACATAGCACATCCATATATTTTAAGTACATCTTGTAGCCCGAATGCTAATCTACTG